GAAAGTTCTGTAGGTGCTGTGAGGTCTCGTGCTAGTTCTTTTGTGGAGTATGCAATGTCTGGTCGTGTGTATGCTAACCATTGAGTTTGCCAACAATCCTTCTGTACCTTTTGTGTTGTTCGTGGTCAAGTAGTGCTTCATCTTCTATTGTTGGTTTGTAGTGTGCAATTCCTGGAGCGTTCACTGAGTTGCAGTTGTTCATTCCAGACTCCTCGATCATGTTGTCGATGTAGGAGTCCTTTAGTCCAAGATTGCAGTAGTTGCCAAAGTGGTCGATGTTTCTTCCAAGAAATTGTTGTGGTTTGCCAGGTTCGAGGTAGCCGATGTGCTTGAGTAGGACCTGCTTCTGGATGGCCTCGAAGGTGGAGTCGACAGTAGTCTTGTCACCAAGTACCAAGAGGTCATCCACGTAGACCATGATGTAGCAGTCGCGAGTCGCATTGGTGTAGACGTTAGGTTCTGACTTTAGTCTTACAAAGCTGAGCTTTTGTAACACTTCAGCCAGGTAGTCCTGCCATGCTTTTGGTGAACTGCGTAGTCCATACATGGCTTTCTTTAGTCGCCAGATTTTGTCCTGTTGTGGACAAAGTTCTTTAGGTGGCCAAAGGTAGACGTCACGTTGTTTACCGTCGTGGTCTTTTGCGATGGGTGCGTGTAGAAATGCTGTAGAGACGTCACCTAGTCGCGCTATCCAGTTTGGTCGTGACATTTGTAGTGCGAGAAGTGTCCGGAGTGTCGTGAACATTGGTGTAGAGGCGTAGACGGAGTCTTCGTCCTCGATCTTCTCTGTGTAGCCTTTTGCGACGATTCGGCTTCGCACTCCTGGTCCTTTCTTTCTGTGTACCCATCTTGTAGGCATCGCTTCTCTGATGACGTTGTCGTCGACGGTAGACGCATCTACTTCGTCGTAGGCGTCATGTAGCTTCATTTGGTTTGACTCGTGTTTCATTCCTTCCAGTAGTTGTGTTTCGTCGTAACCTTCGTTGTCGAAGATTATGGGTTGGTCTTCTGAGGTCTCGTCGTTTGTGTAAGGGGTGATGGATTTTCCGTTGGGAAGTGTCACTGCGTTAAATTTCTGTCGTAGTGGTGGTGGTTCTTTGATTGCTTGCTCCGTTGATCTCATTGTAGGTTCCTTTGAGGTCTTCTGTGCTTTAGTTGGTTGCATTACTTCTTCCGGAGTTAAACGTCGTAGTGTTTGTCGAGGTGGTGCTGGTAGTGGTGGATGTTGTCGTCCGGTTGGTGAAGTAGCCATACTGGGATAGGGTCGTACTTACGCTGGAGTTATAAGTAACTTAGCACTTAGCTTGGACTTATAAGTAACTTATCTTGAACTTAGAAAAGAGGTTTTTCTAAGTCCGCTAAGTTCATTCTAAGTTCATTGAGTTGGCAAGCACATGCGTTTTGAAGCATGGCAGTGATGAAGCATTACGCGCTGGAAAGCACACATTTTCGTGTGACTCAACGCAGCAGGGCAGGCGCGCGCGCATGCAGTTTACGCTGTTTGTTCGCGCTGCTTCGCACGCTTGGCTCGATGGAGCCGGAGCATTGTTTGCACTGATTGACTCGGTTGACTTTTGTTGTGCGATAATCGTTTCTATAGCGGTGTCTCCGCTGGCGGCCGGTCCGCCTTAATATAGTCGCATGGGGCGGTTTCTCCGCCGGCGGCCGGTCCGCCCGTTTTGCTTTTCTCGTTTGATGATATATCATTGTAGCGGTGGTTCCGCTGGCGGCCGGTCCGCCAAGCTATTTTTGCCACGTTCATTTTCATTTCGAAATGGCACTTGAAGCGGTTGTCCGCTGGTGGCTGGTCCGCCCAGGAATTTTTCGGCGTTGATTTTTATTTCGAGATGGCACTTGAAGCGGTGGTCTGATGGCACTTTGCGATTTTTTGCATGTTTGGATTGTGAGTGCGCGGATGAAAGGCTGCAAGACTTCAAGGCTCCAGAATCCAGACTGCTGACTGCAAACTCCCCACTCCAGACTGCAGACTCCAGACTGCAGACTCCAAACTGCAGAGTCCAGACTGCAAACTCCAGACTCCAGACTGCAGA